CTCTTTAACACATACTTCAGACTCTTCTCTCTCTCTCTTTAACACACACTTCAGACTCTTCTCTCTCTCTCTTTAACACACACTTCAGACTCTTCTCTCTCTCTCTTTAACACACACTTCAGACTCTTCTCTCTCTCTCTTTAACACACACTTCAGACTCTTCTCTCTCTCTCTTTAACACACACTTCAGACTCTTCTCTCTCTCTTTAACACACACTTCAGACTCTTCTCTCTCTCTCTTTAACACACACTTCAGACTCTTCTCTCTCTCTTTAACACACACTTCAGACTCTTCTCTCTCTCTTTAACACACACTTCAGACTCTTCTCTCTCTCTCTTTAACACACACTTCAGACTCTTCTCTCTCTTTAACACACACTTCAGACTCTTCTCTCTCTCTCTTTAACACACACTTCAGACTCTTCTCTCTCTCTTTAACACACACTTCAGACTCTTCTCTCTCTCTCTTTAACACACACTTCAGACTCTTCTCTCTCTCTCTCTTTAACACACACTTCAGACTCTTCTCTCTCTCTCTTTAACACACACTTCAGACTCTTCTCTCTCTCTCTTTAACACACACTTCAGACTCTTCTCTCTCTCTCTTTAACACACACTTCAGACTCTTCTCTCTCTCTCTTTAACACACACTTCAGACTCTTCTCTCTCTCTCTTTAACACACACTTCAGACTCTTCTCTCTCTCTCTTTAACACACACTTCAGACTCTTCTCTCTCTCTCTTTAACACACACTTCAGACTCTTCTCTCTCTCTCTCTAACACACACTTCAGACTCTTCTCTCTCTCTCTTTAACACACACTTCAGACTCTTCTCTCTCTCTCTTTAACACACACTTCAGACGTGGCCGAACACAGACGTCTCACCTGAAGGAGAAACGTCACTAAAGTCAAATTCAGACCAAAAAGTGAAATTATGAGGAAGAAGTTGAATTCGGAGAAAGAAGTGAAATTCCCTCAGAGTTAGATTAGTGATTATTACACACTTCAGGACGGGGGCTGACTCTTCAGACTCTTCTCTCTCTCTCTCTCAGACGTGACCGATCACACCTGAAGACTTCGTGACTCATATTTTCTGAAGTAAGCGTTTCCGTGCGATGGTCACGTGGCGAGCGCGGCCGGCACGATGTCTCGCAGCAGTTTGGTGAGCGCGCTCACTTTGTCCTCCAGCTGGAAGTTCTTCTTCTCTGCGTGTTTCTGCCGCTGCTCGGTGACCTGCAGCGCCTTCATGAGCTGAGCGTTCTCCACGTACAGGTCCTGCAGCACGGCGCTCAGCTGGGAGCTCTTCGACAGCTGCGGAGCACAAACACCGAGTTACTTCCTGGGGGAGGGATCTTAATACCAACAGCTTTCATTTCATTGGTCTATGGCTCCACAGTGGTTTTTACCTTGTTTTAAATTCTACTTTCATTTTTTTATATTTACATTTTTTGTTTAAATTCATTATTCAGGTTGAATACAGAATTCAACAATTTACCCAAAATTTCAATTGATTATTTTTAAAAAACATTAAGAAAAAAATCAAAGTTTGAGGAAAAAGTCAAATTTTCAGAATCAAATATTTTTAATACCAACTTTCACTGAATACGTTTTGTTTGTATTAAACATTTACATTTTAATAGCAAGTTGTATTGTAGGTACAAAATGTTATTCCTTTTTTCAGATTAATTACAGAATTCAAATTTTTGACTTTTTGAGAAGGAAATCCAAATATTGGGAAAACGTCAAATTTGGTGAAAAATCAAAATCAGTGGAAAAAGTCAATGATTTAAAAAAAAGTCCAATTTTGAGGAAAAGTTTTTTTTTTGACAAAGTCCAAATCTGGGGGAAAAGTTAAATTTGTGAAAAATGTCAAAATCTGAAAAATGTGTAAAAGTCTGACAAAGTGAACTTCTGAAATACAGTCTGAATCTGGACGGTGTTGGGACCGACCTGTTCTCTGAGCTCGCTGACTTTCTCCTGAAGAACCAGCCGGACGGCCTTCAGCTTCGTCTCCAGCTGATCTGTCCTCTGCTGCAGAGACAACACCGCCTTCTCGTACTGATCCTACACACACACACACACACACACACACACACACACACACACACACACACACACACACACACACACACACACACACACACACACACACACACACACACACACCTCAAAAGCATTGATACATGTTTTCTTTTGTGTGCAAAAATCTTAATCTGCAAACTGAAAATGTGTCGGGTAAATGTAAAGTATGCAGTTCAGTAAATGTGTGTGTACCTGCTTCATGCTGATCTGGGAGCTGCTCTGCTGGCTGTGCAGCCTCAGAGCCTCCCGCACCGCCTGCACACACACTCTCTCTCTCTCACAAACA